GATCAGGTAGTGTGGCGCGTAATTGCTTTGCTATTCTGGGTCTTTTATTCTTCCATATGAATTTCAGGACCGCTTTTTCTGGTTCTGTGAAGAGTGTCATTGGTGTTTTAATGGAGATTGCATTGAATCTACAGATTGCTTTTGGTGATATGGCCATTTTAACAACTTCAATTCTGCCTGTCCAGGAATACAGGAGGTCTTTCCATCTTCCGAGGTCTTCAATATTCTATAGTTTTCATTGTAGAGGTTTTTCACCTCCTTGGGTAGATTTATCCATAGGTTGGTTGGTTGGTTGGTGTTCAGGGTATCATGAAAGAAATTTTTTCCTGATTTCCTTCTCAGCAGTTCATTATTGGTGTATAGTAAAACTATTGGTTTTTTTAAAGTGGATTTTGTATTCCTCAAATTATTCCATAAAGTAGAGAAGGGTAGGGACTCCCAAATTAATTCTATGAAGATAGCATCACCATGATACCAAAACCATATAAACACATCAATTAAACTACAGACTGATATTTCTGATGAACATAGATATAAAAATCCTTAATAAAATATTAGCATTTCATATTCAATAACACATTAAGAAGATTGTATACATCATGATCAAGTTGTTGTTTGGTTTGGTTTGATTTGATTTTGTACCAGGGTCTGAACCCAGGGACGTTTAACCACTGAGCCACATCCCCAGCCCTTTTTATATTTAGAGACAGGATCTCACTAAGTTGCTTAGGGCCTTGTTAAGTTGCTGGGGCTGGCTTTTGAATTCGTGATCTTCTTGCCTCAGCCTGCCCAGCCACTGGGATTATAGGCATATGCCACCACGCCTGTCTAAATTGGTTTTATTCTAAGGATGCAAGGATGTTTCAACATACAAAAATCAATAAATGCTGATGAATATCAGCTGACTAGTGTTTGTCAGCTCCACAAGTCTTCTATTGAAGTATTTTTGGGTCTCATGTATAGAATTCTATCTGCAAACAGTGATAATTTGACTTCTTCTCTTCCTACTTTATCTCTTTGATTCCCTTCTCTTGCCTAATTTCTCTGGCTAGTTTAAAAGACTATATTGAATAGAAGTGGTAAGAGTGGATATTCTTGTCTTGTTCTTGATTTTAGAGGAAATGCATTCAGTTTTCTCCCATTCCCTATGATGCTGGCTTTGAGTTTGACATATATAGCCTGTATGGTGCGATGGTAAGTTCCTCCTGTCCCTAGTTTTTTGCAGTGCTTTTAACATGAATGTGTGCTAGATTTCATCAAAGGCTTATTTCTGCTCCTGTTATTATGATCATGTGATTTGGTCTTTAAATCTATGTGATGAATTATATTTATTGATTTGCATATGTTGAAATATCCTTGCATCCCTGGTATAAAAATAATTTGATCATGGTGTACAATCTTCTTAATGTGGTTTTTAATGAAATGCTAACATCTTATTAAGATTTTTTATATCTATGATCATCATGGATATCGGCCTGTGGTTTTCTTTATTTGACGTGTTTATAAGGTTTGGTATCAAGTTGATGCTGGCTTCGTGGAATGAATTTGGGGGTGTCCCCCTTTTCTGACTTCATGGACTACTATCAGGAACACTGGCATTATTTTTTTTTTTCTTTAAAGGTCTGATAGAATTCAGCTATGAATCCATCTGATCCTGAGCTTTTCTTTGTTAGAAGGATTTTTTTTTTATTTTTTGGTATTTGGGATTAAACTCAGGAGTTCTTAACCACTGAGTCATAACTGAGCCACATCCCCAGCCGCCCCCCCTTTTTTTTTGAGAGAGAGAGAGAGAGAGAGAGAGAATTTTTTAATATTTATTTTTTAGTTCTTGGTGGACACAACATCTTTGTTTGTATGTGGTGCTGAGGATCGAACCTGGGCCACACGCATGCCAGGCGAGCGTGCTACCGCTTGAGCCACATCCCCAGCCCCCTTTTTATTTTTCATTTTGAAACAGGGTCTCGCTAAGTTACTGAGGTTGACTTTGAACTTGGATTCTCCTGCCTCAGCCTCCCAAGCTGCTAGGATTACAATGTGTCACCAAACCTGGCTGTTAGAAGGATTTTAATTGCTAGTTTAATTTCATTACTTATTAGGTCTGTTTGGATTTTCAATCTTTTTGGTTCAGATTTGATACCTTGTATGTGTTTAGAAACATATCCATTTCTTCTAGATTTTCTGATTTAAAATGTAAGTTTTTAAAGTAGTCTCTGAAATTTCAGAGTTTTCTGTGATGACATCTCCTTTTTCATCTCTTAATTTTATTAATTTGGATCTTCTCTATTTTTGGGTAGTTTACATAGGGCTTATCAATCTTGTTTATCTTTTTAAAGAACCAAATCTGTTACATTGATCCCTTGTATTACTTTTTATTCTCTATTAATTTCAGCTCTTAATTATTTCTTTCCTACTACTTATTTGGGAATGATTTGTTCTTGTTTCACTGGGACCTTTGAGGTACATCATTAGGTTATTTATTTTGAATCTTTATGATTTTGTTAGGGAGGCATTCATAGCTATAAATTTTCCTTTTAGAATCATCTTCATAGTGTTCCAGTTTCTGGTTTGTTTTATGTCTATTCTCATTCAATTCTAGGAATTTTAAAATTTCTCCTCAAATGTCACCGGTTTCATCTGTCACTCAAAAGTTTATTGTTAAATATCCATGTGTTTATATAGTTTCTACAGTTTCTTAGTATTGATTTCTAATTTCATTCCATTATCTGATAAGATTCAAGGGAATATATCAATCTTTTTTTTATATTTGCCAAGACTCGCTTTATGACTTAAAATATGGTCTATTTTGGAGAAGGTTCCATGAGCAGCTGAGAAGAAAGTGTATTCAGGTATTATTGGATGAAATTTTCTATAGATTTCATTTAGGTTTATAGTATTTTTTTTAGGTTTAAATGATCTATTTGTTGGTGAGAGAGGTGTGTTGAAATCACCCAGTATTTTCATACTGGGATCTATCCAAGTCTTTATACCAAAAGTAGTGTCTGCATTATATAATTAGGTGCACCAACATTTGGGGCATAAATATATACTATCATATCTTCCTGTTGGATTCTTCCCTTTAGCAGTATGATATTTTCTCTCCTGGTTAATTTTGACTTGGAAGTTTGTTTTGTCAGATGAGAGTAATTTGTTTTGACTCCATTCACATAGTATATCCATTTTCATCCTTTCACTTTCACAGTGGCTGTCTTTGCCTGCAAGGTGAGTCTTTTGCAAACAATATATAATTGGGTCTTATTTTTTAACCCATTTTGCCAGCCTGTCTCTTAATTGGAGAATTGAGACCATTTTCGTTCAAAGTTATTATAGAGATGCTTAATATTTCTTACCATTTTGATTTTTAATGTTTTGGTTCTAATTCTTATGTGGAGCAAAGTCCTTTGTAAATTGACTCATTTTAAAACTAGTCTTCAAGGCAGGGGGAATTGCTCAGTGGTGTTTACTTAGCATGTACAAGGCATTGAGTTTGGTCTCCAGCACTGCAAGACAAAAGAAAAGAGTAAACCAGGCTTCACTGAAGCTGCAACTGACCACTCTTTTATTTAAACCAATTTGGTATAAGGTGGTTTGAAAATACAATTGGAATTCAGGCTGCCAGATTCAGCAATTCACTCAGTATGAAAAGTGAATTTCTATTAAGGAATATTTGATGTTATTTGCCTGTTTAGCTTCAATTCATATTAGAGGATTTTATTTTTTATCAGCAAATGATTATTGCCAGAACAAATTAAAAAAAAAGCTATAGAACTACCTGAAAATTGGCTTTTTGGTAATTTTCCCATTATTAAAGTAATAGATGGATGCTCTTGAAATTATAGAAACAAGTAAAGGAGAAATGGTTAAGGATTCCCCAAATACCCACCACCTAAAGAAAACCCTTATTTCGTTTATCTTGGTTCATATTATGATGGAAGCACTATTTTATAGTCTTTTAGATTATTCTAAAATGTTGATGCATAATACCATTTTAATTTTTTTAATTCTAATTTGCTATATGGCAGCAAAATGCAATTCATTTCATATTACAAAAATAGAGCACAATTTTTCATGTCTCTTATTGTATACAAAGCATAATAATATCATTTTAGTCATAATTTTCTTTATTTTCTCCAACTTTAATAAAAAAGGAAAAAATGTGGGCTTTTAATTTTTTTGCTTATAATTTCTTCTCCTAAATAAATCCTTATATGATTTGAAGTAGTAACTCAAAAGGACAATAAGACAATAGGAGAACAAGAACCAAGTTAAAAAGTTGGTTCCACACTCTTGGTGCAATATGAAACAGTGAAAGCAGAAAAGACTATACACTTGCTAGATGTGAAGGGCTTTACACATGGTAAAAAATTTAATCCTTTCACACAAGATGGACACTACTATGACTGCCCTTTTTGAGCTGGAAAAATAGACTCAGAAATTATGTAACTTGTCCAGGGTCACATAACTAGTAAGTGGTATAGTTAACTTCCATGCAGCTTCTCAGATTACCTGCAGCTGACATAAAATCTTTTACATCAAGTTCTCCCTACTTAGGGACTCTGCAGATGTGTTCTGTGAAGAGCCATGCAGATAATATTTTAGGCTATGGAGGCCATAAGGTCTTTATTGTATATTCTCTATGTGTATTTATAACCTTTAAAAATCATGCTTACATATGTGGGTCCTGTACATTTTTCTAATTTATCAAATTTCCAAGAGATCAGTGACTACTAATACTAATAATAACCACTGCCTTAGAAGAAAGATAATCTATTAACTCACTAGTAAAAGGAAATGATGTACTAAAAGTTTTCAAGTACTTTGTACATCATACTTTTTTTCCCTAATTGACCTATTGACAGGTATCTAAATCAAAAAGAATTTCATTGACTTAGATATGTCTTTTTTTCTTCCAGTTCCATAGTTAAAAGAGATAGTAAGTGCTGATCTTTTTACCTTCTCAGCCATGTGAGATCATGACTGGGGTCTCCCTGTCTATTTTGCAGCCAACAACTACATCGAATCAAAGTGTCAGGCTGTTATCGAAGAACTGCGTAAGTGTTGTGCTCGATATCCCAAGGGAAGATCTCTCGTCTGTTCAGGATTTGAAAAAGAAGAAAACCAGACACTGAAGTCTCCAGCAAAGTAAAGTTCTGCTGAAGAATTAATTAAATGCTGCTCCATGTTTCTACCAAGCACATTTTATTTATCCTCCTTTCTTTAGGCCAGGTAGCAGCAAATAGCAAAAGAAAAATCAACTGTAAGAGCTAGTGGAATATGCCATCTATGCAGAACAGATGATTTTATTAAGACATGTGTAGAATGTCATAAAATTGAGCTGCTAAAATAAACCTGTTTAAGTGAAAAATTTTGGCTTGGTACTAAGTGTATTTTAAGGATCTTCAGTACAGGTTACTAATGAATTCTCTTTAGCACTTGAATTCATACCACCAGTCATATGAGACAGGAGGTGAAGATTCATGCCTCCAGGGTAACAAGCATAAATTACGTGCTGAATTAACTCAAAACTTCCTTTAACCTAACTCCATACCTGTTGTACTTCCAATAATACAAAATGTCCTTCTAGGTGCCAGTAGGAATATTTCTTTCTGCCTTTACATCCCCACCACAGTGCCTAGTCAGAAGAAGGTGCTTAATATTTTTTCACTCAGTGGTATGAAAGGCATAGAAATGATTTTTGTAATGTTTAGTGATCCCTAATTTATTGTGAATGAAGAAAAAAATTCCATTGGAAGTCAGGCGAGCAGGAACAAAATAAAAAATCTTAGTTCATATACCTATTTTTTATATCCTTATAGTCAAAACCTGCTCTAATAAATCCAGATATTAATAAAAATCTACTGAATGAAGCCTTTTGGCAATTGACAGCTACCTTATGGCCATCCACTTGGCTCAAATAGATACTAGAACTGCCATTGCCCCTCCTTCCAAAAAGAAAAAGATGACTTTATGAGCAAATTCTGATAGGTCCTTGATGACTAAATGCCATTATTTTAGGCCAACTGTTTCTTTTTTTTTAACCTTTATTATTTTATTTATTTTTATGTGGTGCTAAGGATTGAACCCAGTGACTCACATGTCCTAGGCAAGCCCTTTACCACTGAACTACAACCTCAGCCCCTAGACAAACTGTTTCTTTAAAGCAGCATTTCTGAAAGTGTTTCTAGGAATAGTAATGAAAAAAAAAATCTTTGGATATTTGGGGAATACTAGGTTAAACACAGGTAAACAGGTTTCTTTCCTGTTGGACTTTGGAGTTTTTCCTATGTTAATGTGAATTATGATTCTTTGGAAAGGACTATTGTATTGCCATTGTGAATCCAGTTTGCAGACAAGAGAAATGTTGCTTTAGAGATGTCTGGTCCACACACCAGGGAAACAGTGCTAAATTTCCATGAAATAATTTAAATAAACTCTCATGTTAATAGTAAAACAATTTAATAAAGCATTTTACAACTATAATGTTTACATCATCTATGGATCTAAATTACATTTAAAATTATCAATAGATTGTGGTGCTAAGATTTACATTACCATTACAAATCAAATAGATGGCTTTTCTGTGTTTTAGTTGTGGCTTTCTTAACAATGTCCCCCTGCTGCCAGTATTTAGAGTTTTGAAAGATTCAAAACAATTTTCCTTCCTTTAAACAGATCTATTGGAAGCCATTGGTTTAATCAATCTCATTCTCTTTAGCCATTATTATGATGTAGATAAAAATACAATAGCCATTAGAGAAGGTTTAACATTCAAATGTTTTTTGTGATAGGAGTTGATATTAACAGTGAAACTCAGTCTTCAGGGAAGTTGGAAACTATGATATCCTCTATCTTAGAGATTTAAAAAAAGCACCACAGTACAATTCCCTTCCTTGCATCTACTCAAATTTTGTGAACTGTAATATCGTACTCTTGTTCAGTATGTAGCAGGTATCTCAAGTTGTAGGGCACTTAATTTATAATGATATTGAAGTCCTATTAAGTAGTCACATTAATAGCAGAACTATAATTTTATTAGTACCAGCTACCAACTCTTTTACTTCAGTGGTTCTCAGTCCTGGCTGCTCATTAGAAACATCTGCAACATTTTGAAACCTCAGGCTGCCACAACAGCACCCTAGACCACTGAAGTCAGAATCTCTAGGATGAAAGCCAGGCATCAGTAGATTTTACAGTTCTACAGATGATACACCCATGTGCAAAAAAGGTTGAGAAGCACTGTTCTCAATAATCATGTCATTTCTTAACATTTTAAAATTGGAAAAAGTTTTGGCAAGTCAAAAATGTGAAAAAAGTGCAACACTGTTTTCTTTAGAAAAATAGTTTGTAAATTCATGATCCCTTCAGAATAAAGGCATCACAGATATAAGCCACACTGTAAGATTTCTGGGAAATCAGGTCAAGAAATAAATTAGGTTTCCATCCTGTTTTCCAAGAGTTCACACTAATACTGAAGCCAGATTTAAAGTTAGGTAGCCAGTGTAGTTAGATAAATCGGGTCTAATGCCGAGTGAAATCTAAAATGGAGGCCATGCTGGCAATGATTCCGGGAAACGCAGGACAGCTCATGGAATGTTAATGAAGTCCCGAAAAGGCCCTAGGCCAAAGTCCACCTCAAAGAAATGTTAATGAACAGCCCCCAGCAAAAAGGTGCTGACTCAGAAGTCCTTCCTGACCAGATTACTTCTTTGGCCCACCTGTGTCCCACCCCTCGGGCCTTCCCACCTACATTCCATCACTGAAAGAACTATAAAAAGGGGAGACAACATCCCTTCCACGGATTCCACCTCTTGGGTCCCCTTCTTCCTCCGGGAGAAGTCTTTTCTGCTGTCCTTTAATAAACTTCTAATTTCTACTCTGACCTTGCCTCGGCGTGCTTCTTTGGTGTTATTCTTCAACATTGGGGAAGCAAGGACTCGTCACCGGTCAACAGCAGTAACAATACTATGTAAGTGACTATTGGGCAGAGAACCCTTTTTAGTTCTGGACCTAATTTCCAAGAAATCATACTAGACATGCATGACAGGGGAGCAGTCTAATTTTCCTACAGGACTGCGTGTAGGAGTTTCCCTCATGGAAGAAACAGATCATCCAAAACACTGATACTCAAAAATTCTAAATCCATCTCTATACTATTTTTTCAAGCAGAGACTTATGGTATTTTCCCAAACTGTAAAAAAAGTACAAGATGCAAATAAAAACTCAACCATTTTTTATGCCTATCTTTCTGGCAAACATTGATCAAAAGAATGAACAAAAAACACATTAATAGTTAACCACACAGGAACTCTGCCTTTCAAAACCACAAGCACCAGCCCTAAGGGAGTGTTAGCTAGAATTATGTTAAACTCCTCCATCTTGAATATGTCTGGTCTTCTTCCAGAATCCACAAGATAGTAACTGTTCAGATCCAGAAGCTGAGTGGTGGGAGGTCCAAAGCAAACAATGGCCATTTGAATGAAGGATAGTCTTGTTACCATATCATCAGAATGCCAGTAACACTTATAACAGTGGGGTTGCTCAAGCAGGTTTCCTTTGAACTCAAGGTCAGCAAAGAGAATCAGAGCTTGGGGAGACTAGAAGCTTAAGAGTCAAACCTTTTGAGCCCAAGCAGGCAGCTGCCAGAAAGTGCCCCTGACCGCTAACCTCACTCCTCTGACTCTGGGGACAACTTCAGCAAAGAGACAAATGTTACAGCTCCGATCTAACAGGTCCCAAGTTTTCATCCTACCCTGTCCCATCCTGGGAGGGGCATTGGGTTGGAGGGCTGCCAGAGTAGTGAAAATGCAGTGCAGAGCTGTAGTGACCTGGGAGAGGGCAGAACGTGCTGGAGGTGCTGAAGGGCACAAATGGGGAAAGGGCTCTCTCAAGCCCCAGGACAAGGAGTTTTCACTACATGGGTCCACAAACTTGAAGATTCACGGATAATGTTCAGACATACCCACCAGCAGGAGGTGCCAAAACCCCAAACACATCCAAAACAAGTTTATCTGGCCATACATGTAGACAATGCTCACCGTAAATACCAAAACCAGAGACCCTGGCATCAGAAAAAAGATGTAGGGAATAAGGGAAGAACTTATATATATAATTATCGGAACTGTTAGCAATAAATACACTCCAAGCAAAAATAAAGGAGGACCTATAAATTAAAGAGACTTATACCATCCAAATGCAATATGGACCTTAAATTTTGATTTGAACTAAATGTGAAACACTTTTGAGATGAGGAAATATTGAACCAGATATTTGACATTAGAGAATTATTGATTTTTGACTTGATAATAAGGTATTGTACTTATGATTTTAAAAAGTACTTACCTTTTAACAATATATACTGAAATACAATAAAATGATTATTTGGTATTTGTTTTACAATAATTGGTTAGTTAAAATTTCATGGTGGTTTTACATGGGTGATAGATACATGGGGAAGTCAGTGTATTCTCTAATTTTATGTGTGCTTGAAAATTTCCATAATAAAAAGTGAAAATAATTTTTAAGTTCATGGAAAAAATATGTAGCAGAGAGGTGCTCATACCATTATGATTCGATGATTCATACATATTGCAAGCAAAATAACTTTGTTGCCTTAAATGTTACTGTAATTTAATGAGGAAAATGCAAATAGGTGAATTCTATAAAGTTCTACACATCCACTGGTAGTTTCAATTTTCAGATTCAATGCATCATTCTCAAGATAGGTTAAAAAGCAAACTTTTTTTTTTTTTGTAGTGGTGCTGAGGATTTAACCCAGGGCCTTGTACATGCTAGGCAAGCACTCTACCAACTGAGCTATATCCCCATTTTGACATGGATTGACTGCAAGTTTTAAGATTTATATCTGAGTAAAACTAACCTTTAATAGTAAGTTTTTGTTCTAGAAGGTTAAAATTCATATATTCAGCAAATACTCAGAACTTATTAAGTGCTAGGCCCTGTGACATAAAGATGAAGACAATGGAGAAGAAGAACATGCTGACAGGTACTGAAGGGCACAAATGGGGAAAGGGCTCTCAAGGCCTGGGACAAGGAGTTTTCACTTACCATCCAAAGCTGATATTCTAGTTGGAATTACAACAAAATGTGTTAAGTGTGTGTAAATTTTTAAAGAATAATTCTGAGAAATGGAGGAGTGTCATCAAGTGACACAGACTTCACTTGATGACAGAAATAATTCATTTCATGTATGCTATCATTATTTTTCTTAATTCTGAATGTCTGAAATGTTGCTTATTTAAAATTCTGGTTTAAGAGATGAAAAATTGTGCTGTATACATGTAATAAGAATTGTAATGCATTCCACTGTCATTTATTTTTAAAAAATCAACAAAAAATAAATAAATAAAATAAAATTCTGGATTAAATGCTGCATTTCATACAAACTGGATAAAGAAATAGAATTGACAACGAGGATCTATGGCTACCCCTAGTGCTGTGACACAGGAATAATACTTCACATTTCAAAGCACAAAGCCTTTTCTATGAAATAAAAATCCAAGTGCTTCTTCCTTCTCCTATCTAAATCATTCATTTTACCATAAATCAAATCTTTGGAAATAGCCATGAAATGCATTATCTGATACGGTGGAAAACATTCCTGAATAGTATCTTAATGTTCCTAAATGATTTCTCTGACCACCCAACAATGTATTTCTAACAGCTGGTTTCCCTAAGAGATCTTCCTACCAAATACAATACCTTCAGTACAGCATATACCCTTTAGCATAAGTTCATTTCATATTCAGATTTCTGTCATTTATCATTCTTAGACTGCCATTTTTGTCAGAATAATTATAACAGGTTTAAATAGCTTCTCTTTCTGTAATCTAAAACCAACTAGAAATAAAATACACACCAAGATACCAAAATCTTTCATGCTTAAAGGCAAATGTATTCACTTCCTTCCCATGCAGCACATGAGGTAACTATCTGCTTCTTTTCCAAATCAAGTGTGGGACAACCTTTGAGGACCCATTCATGGCAAATGATCTTGCAATGTATTCTGGTAAGTATTTTATAAGGGAAAGGACATTTTTGCTGACCTACAGATTGACCAAGTGGGGAGTATACTGGGTGGAGAGCTAATGTCTAATGTCTCTTCCATCACCATCAAGCTCACAGCAGGCAGGGCTTGTATTAACTTGTACCAACAGATGCCTATAGAAGCCAATTCCGGTTTGACACAACAGGGAGGAAGGCATGGGAGAACAGGAGAGACTTGATGTCCTATGATGGAGTGTAGAGGCTGCTGATTAGAAAAAAATCAGAACAATGGAAGTGAAGTTGTCCTCCTTAGGATGCCATGCCAAGCAAAAAGCCTCCAAAAAATCCTCCAGTCACTAGAACATTCTTCTTCACAAATGACACAACCTGTGAATAAAAGATTTGGCACAATGAGTAAGTTAGATGCTAAGAATGTTAATATTAGGAATCATTTCAATTACTGTTGTTGATTAACAAGTGAGGTCCTTATTTCCTTAAACTGCCAAAGATTCCCACCATTCACCTACCTTCCTACAAAAGCGCCCATTCATCTGAGGCTCAGAACATACACTTAGGCACCCTTTATGGCTCCTTTGTCTATGTGCTAGCAATCTCCTGACCACTTTCCTTAATACATCCTAATCATTTCTTGAACTCCAATGCAGTAGCTTTATCTGCCAACCATACAAGGGACTCACATCTTGGCATTCCCCATCATTCTGCCATTCTATCCTTTTTGAACCAGTTTCCAAACCATCTGGTGTCCCCTCACTGCCACAATGCCTATGTCTTCCTGCCTCATTTCTGCTCTGGTGCCTAACTCTTCCTAGATCTTATTTCCCTAAACAAAGCACTTAAAATAACTGCATTCATTTACTACTTTTACTTTATTTCTACTCATTCTTCAACTTGCTAGTTTTGCTTTTAACTCCACCAGCAAACTAAAACTCTTCTTAATGAAGTCATCTTATTGCTAAAAACTGAAGTTATCATCTTCACCCTGCTTCCTAAATCAGACCATAAGTTGTATGATTCCCCATAGATATCCACCTCTGCCACACTCCACTATGGGTCAAAGTACCAACTGTCCCTTTAATGCTAGCCAATATAATTTAACCTGGCTTTTTGCAGTAGATCAGGGGTCAGAGAACTACAGCCCATGGTCCATATCTATTCTGCTATTTTAAATAAAGTTTTACTGCAACACAGCCACATCCCCTTGTTTATATATCATCTATGGCTACTTTCACCCTACATAGTGGAGTTGAGTATTTGTGACAAAGACCATATGAGCAACAAAGCTGAAAATACCATCTGGCCCTTTACAGAAAAAGTCTGTCAACCCCTCAGCTACTTACCTACTATTTACATGTAGAACAAGCAGAGTATGGATGTTTCAGACATAAGCAGGCATGGAAATAAATGTAACTCAAAATGATCACACTGAAAATACATCCTTTAACATCCACTGTGGTGCCCCCACGTCTACACATCCAAGTTAACTACAAGTACTATCTATATCACTTTGTACTTTCACTGACTGAAAAAGGTCAACAAATACTTCAATTATGTATCTTTAAAAAATGCCTCTGAAATGAAGATATTCCAACTAAGGCTTAACTACACAATAAAGCTCTTGTCTCATTACTCCAAATTCTTTTTAAGTTTTAAGCCTTATCCATCTCTGAGATACTGGCATATCTATCTACCCCATTTTATACATACAAAACTGTCTATATCCTTTGTATACTGTATTTGAACAAAACAATTCTCACCTCCTCAGCTTTACTCTTGACCTCAGTTGGTATTTGATTGCTCTTACGAATCTTCAGCTGTTCTTTGGCTTTTTTCATGTCCTTTTCTACTCGCTGCCAATCAACTTTAATGTACCCAGTATGGTTTGCAAGCTATAGTTTGAACAATGACAAAACAAACATAAGCTCGTTATTCCTTTTTCTCAGAATAAATTACTTTCCATTTTTTCAGACAGCTGCTCAAGTTATTTGTGGGATGACATTCACTCAACATCTCTGTAGCATCGACCCTATATGAAATGTCCTATGTTTGGTACTAGAAATAGGCCCTCAATAGGCCGGTACGCAATGGCACATGCCTGTAATCCCTGAGGCTCGGGAGGCTGAGACAGTAGGATCATGAGTTAAAAGCCAGCTTTAGCAAAAAGCAAGGTGCTATGCAACTCAGTGAGACCCTGTCTCTAAATAAAATACAGAATAGGGCTGAGGATGTGGCTCACTGGTCGAGTGCCCCTGAGTTCAATCTCCAGTACTCCCCCACCAAAAAAAAGAAATAGGTCCTTAGTAACTGCTGGCAATTTTTTTTTTACTTATATTCTTGTCCCTTTACAGTTTTAAGTTAGCTTAAAAACTAAGATGAAAATCAATGTTGACAGGTATGTGAAAACAACTCTTAAAAATTTTTTATTGGTATGCTATACATAAAAGTGGGGTTCATTGTTACACATTCATATATGCACAGAATATAATAATATAATTTAGTAAGTTTTATTCCCTAGTGCCTCTCCTTGATCTCCCTTCCTCTTTCCTCTTGGTCTCCTATTTAGTGAAAACAATTTTTTTTAAATATTTTTTTTTAATTTATACATTGACACAATATCTTTATTTTGTTTATTTATTTTTATGTGGTGCTGAGAATTGAACCCAGGGTCTCTCACATGTGAGGCTAGTGTGCTACCACTGAGCCACAACCCCAGCCCCACAATTTTATCAAAGAATTGTAAATAGGATAAAATTAATTCAACTATGTAGTTGTCTGATGGGTTAGTTTCTTTCAAGGAATGAAGACAATGACTGTAGCTATCCCCAACAATATCATTTCTGTTTATCAAATTTTTTATATGTCATCTAAAACTGAAACTCTTCACCCTTCTAATGTTTCCTCCAGCTGCTTATTTTCTTCTCATCCCTATTTAATGATACCACCAGCCAACCTAGTCACCCAAACAGGCTGGAGAAAATATATGCACTATCACAAAACATTAATACTCATAAAATATTCTTTTAGAGATTAGTTAAAAAAAAAAAAAAACACTTGAAAAATCCACAAAGATAATTCACAAAATAAGATGGCAAAAAAGGAAAAAATTCAACTTCACAAATAATGAAGGAAATTAAAATTAAAATAACAAGTCAGCCACCTATAATTTTGCAGGGGGTATGGCTTACCAGGGATTGAACCAGGGAGCACTTTACCACTGAGCCACATTGCAAGCCCTTTTCATTTTTTGAGACAGAGTCTCACTAAATTGCTGAGGCTGGCTTTGAACTTGTGGATCTCCTGTCTCAACCTCCTGAGCTGTTGTGATTGCAGGCATGTGCCACAGTGCCTGGTGAGCTACTTACAATTTTTATCAGATTGGAGAAAATTATAAGATTGAAAATATCCTGTGTTAGTGAGGATGTGGAAAAGCAGACACTGTTATTATGTTCTGAGGGTGTTCACTGGAGACTTTAAAAATATTTTTTGGTGTTGTAGATGGACAGAATGCCTTATTTGTTTAGTTTCATATGGTGCTGAGGATCAAACCCAGCCTCACACATGCTAGGCAAGTGCTCTACCACTAAGCTACAGCCCCAGCCCCTCAGTGGACACTTTTAAAAGAGAATAACTTGGCATTATCTACCAACACTGAATCTCCATATGCTGTTATTTATATTATGGTAGGTTTACTTGTTATAGGCATAACTGGAAATAACTCACAAATCTATCAGTAGGTGAAAGGATAAACAAATTATGTCATGTTTATACAATAAATATTACTTAGTACTAAAAAGAATAAAGCTACTTATAGTAGCAACAGAGTTGAATATCAAAAATTGTATGCTAAATGAAGGCTCCAGTTCATTTCACCCAGTTCCTCCCACAGAATCCTCTTATTACACCAACAGAATACATAGAATAGCTATTTGAGGACTATAACAAGAAAAGAGCAGCACACAGATTGGAGAAGACCAGAATTCAAAGTACCACCAAATTTGTTATGTTTCCTATTTTGTCTGCAGTCCCATCTGGCCTCTCCTTGAAGACATGAAAACATCTGACAAAATTCAATACATATTAATGATAAAACTCTCAGTGAAAGTAGAAATAGAGGGAAACTTCTTTAACTGGATAAAAAACATCTACAAAACCTCTACAGCTAACATTGTAAAAAATGTTAAATAATGAATGCTGAGGCAAGGCAAAGAGTCCATCTCTCCATTTCTACTCAGCATCATGCCAGAAGTGAAGTCATACTCAATGCAATAGACAAGAAAAAGTAGGAAGGCATCCAGATTGAAAAGGTAGAAGCCACAATATCCCTGTGTAGAGATATCTTTGTCTACACAGGGGATCTCAAAGAATTCAACAAAAAACCTCAAAGAATTCAACAAAAACCCAGAAATTCCGCAAGTTAAAAAAGTGAGTTTAGCGAGGTCACAGGATACAAGATCAACATACAAAAGCAACTGAATTTCCCTATGATAGCAATTTGAACTGGAAATGGAAATTTTAAAATGATGTACAGTAGCTGCAAAAATATTAAATACTACACATAAATCCAGCAAAAATGTACAGGGTCTATATGCTGAAAAACACAAAATGCAAAGAAAGAACTCAAAGACAATCCAAATACGTGGAAAGGCATGCTGTGTATGTGAAACAAATTACCAGTAGGATTTTTATAGATATAAAGCAGGCTCTAAAATTTATATGGAAAGGAAAGGAACTAGAATCACCCAAATAATTTTGAAAAAGAGCAGAACTGGAAAAATCATACTACCTGATTTTAATATTTGCTATAATATTACAGCAGTCAAGACATAGTATGGTACTGAAGAAGAGAGACACATACAGATCAATGGACTAGAATAAAATGCATAGAAACAGACTACACAAATAAACAATGATTTTTTTTTAAACAAAAATGTAAAAGAGTTAATGGAGGTAGGTGAAGTGTCCCATAAGACCAAGCCACGACTATGAGATGTCTCTGTGCTCTCAACTTGCACAACTGTATAATGCACTGAAGGATTTTAAAAAACAAAACTGGGAAAAGAAGCACCTCTACTGACAAAGCATCATGATCCTCACTGCAAAGGAGAAACACTGAAGTCCAGTCCACCAGGGCAAACAGGAAATTGGATATGTTGATAAGTGGCACATTAATCAGTCATGGGTATTGTTGCTGTGTATTGACTGAAATCTGGCTGGAAAGCTGCAAGAAGTAACTGAAACAATTTTTAGCTTGGTGAAAAAACAAGAAGCAATTAAATTCACAAATACTATCAAGTAAAAATATCATTGTTCATATATGGTATATTTTTATACATAAAACCTCAAAAAATCTCATACAAATCAAATAAGAGGCATCAGCAAGGTGGTTGGCTATCAGGGTAACATAAAATATCAACTGCATTTCAACATATGAGTTAGAACATGCAATTTTAAAATTTTTATCATATACAAGAATGACTAGAGCTATAAGATATCTAGAAATAAAACCAAATCACAGGATGTACTAGAATGAAAAAAAAAGAGACAGACACAGAGGCTCAGCCAGCCCAGACCTTCCCCAGCCCTCTACTCATCTGATTCTAGCCACCATTTGCCATGATTGCCATACCAACCATATGAGATCCTGAGCCACAGCACTCACCTTAACCCTTGCCAAACTCCTGACTTCTCATTATCCATGAGAGATAACAAAATGATTGTTGTCTGAAGCCATTAGGTTTGAAGGGGTATGTTACGCAGCAGTACTATACCTCAACCAAGCCCCAGCCAGTTATCAACTTTCTTCTTCCACACATTAAATTTTCACTTGACCTGTCTGGAAAACTCACTGCAATTATGATTCTTTTTTTTTTAAAACCAGATAAGTACACTGTAGTTGGACACGATGCCTTTATTGTATTTATTTATTTATTTATTTTATTTATTTATTTTTATGTGGTACTGAGGATTGAACCCAAGGCTCACACGTGCTAGATGAACGCTATACCGCTGAGCCACAATCCCAGTCCATGCAATTATGATTGTAGTACAGAACTTACCTTGCCAAAATTAAGGATGCCAATTCTTGGAGGAAACAAAGGGCTGTGAATTCAGATACCTGCATGTTCAACAAGTTATGGCTCCTACAGAGTAGCAGTTCTCACATACAGATGCACGTTAGCGTCATATTGCGGGTTTTAAATATTCTGCTATCAGGCCATGCCAACCTTCAATGAAATCAGACCTACTTACAAGCATCGTTTTTTTTTTTAAGTACAAGGTGATTACGATATGAAATCAAATTTGAACACCAATGCTATAGAACTACAAAATTAAATAGCGATTTTTTTGTTGTTTTTAGAGAAGCTATTCCCTATTTCTTTCCTTAGACTGAGAGAACCCACATTCACTGGTTCTGAAAACTGTGGGCTCTAACAGGGAGCTGAATGTCCCCAATGTTAAAGCTGAATATATTACCCTATGAGAATAAATTATATCACAGGGTACTTATGCTACATTGTGTATTTTTGAAATCACATGCATTTAATATTTCAGTAATTCTTAAGGAAGCTATAAAGAATATGTACTTCTGTCCTATGTTATGAGGAAATAAAATGTGAGTAGGACTTGATAAAATTTGACTCACATAGTTACTAGCATTTAAAATATTACATAAAAATAAGGTGTAAAAGCTATTCTAGCATAATATAGCCAGGACTTCACTACAACCCTTCACACAACATTCCTCAATGGGCATACACAGAATTTCCAGACATCTAGGAATATGCCATATATATATATACAGACCTGAAGGAGAAAAAATCCGCCTCCCACAGCTGTTGCAGCCAATTTTCCAACCTTCTGGAAGATGAAACCAGTGCACCTACAAGAACCAAACCAACATCAGATGAGGAGACACACTGTCGGATGTACACAAATATTCATTTCTGATCATGGTCTTATTTTCCTTACCTTGAGATGATCTACCTCCTGCCTACCCTCTACAGAAAGGCAGTCCCAAAGGAAGCATGACATAAAGAAATAAAATCCTGACTGACTAAAAAGATGGAGGCAGAAGCAACACAGAAGAGAAATGTTGCTGGACTAGATTTGGGGACAGAGTGACAGCAGGGTAAAAAGGATAGAATTTTGTCCCAAAAGACTATTTGGACAATAAGTAGCATTTTTATGGTATGAAAAGAAGAAAGAGGACCATAGGAAAAGGTAGGTAAGGGGAGGGGAAAATATAATGCTATTTTGTAAATGCGGAATGTGAAATGTCCACGAATCTGAGTGGTTACCTCCAGTTGCCAGTTTAATATAACTATTTTATTTGTTTCTTTATTATTGTCTATCATTCTGCCTCCACCTTCATTAAGACATAAGCTTCAAGGGGGCAGAGATTTTGTCTAGCTACTGTGAATTGTGCTACAATGATCGCTGTAGTGCAAACGTCTCTCTGATTTCATTTCCTTTGTATGTGTAACTAGTACCGGGATTGCTGAATCATATTGTTATTCTATGTTTAATACGTGAAGAACCTGCATATAGTTTGTACATGTAATTGTATAAATTAATGGGTTTCAATGTTGCACTGCCATCCATGTATATATCAAGCTTTCATCATGTCCTTCCCTTTTCCTCACTCTCCTTGACTGCCTTTTCACACCCTAATACTCCCTCTTCAACTTTAGGTTACCATTGTATGGTTATTTTTATTTATTTGACTTTTAGTTTCCTCCTATGAGAGAAAACATTTGCTAATTGTTTTTCTGTGAATGACTTATTAAACTTTTTTTAAAAAATATGTATTTTTTAGTTATTGGCGGACACAACATCTTTGTTTGTATGTGGTGCTGAGGATCGAACCCGGGCTGCACGCATGCCAGGCGAGTGCGCTACCGCTTGAGCCACATCCCCAGCCCCGACTTATTAAACTTAACACAATGTCCCCAGTTCTAGGCAAATAGCAGGATTTTATTCTTTATGGCTGAATAATAGCCATCATGTTTATATAATGTATTTTTTACCATTCATCTACCACTGTGAATACACACCCTCTTTTCTTTATTCATTCATCTGTTGATGGGTTGTTGAGAGCCACAGGGGAAGGGGCCCCAGCAAACTTCCAGCTGCCGGCTGATGATTGGCTCACAGCGGCCCCAGCAACATCTAGCTGATTGGCTCCTCTGCGGTGATGCTCATTGGGCTGTTTCCCTGCCCTTTCAGACCACGGAGCTGCTCATTGGGGGACTTTTTTGGCTCCGCCCACGTGACCCAGCCAATCGGCCTCAAGAGCAGGAGGATTGTGGGAGGTGGAGAGAAGCTTGTGGGGGGAGAGAGAGGCTTGTGGAAAGCCGGTGGTGGCAGTTGAGGCTCTGAGGGTTTTTCCTGAGAGGCTATTTTGTTTGGCGTGTGTGGTTCTAAAAATAAAGTTAGTTTCTTTTGACAAGTGGCTCCTGATTATGCCCAGCCAGACTGTGGCAATGGGTACCTGGACTATTTCCATATCATGTTATTTTTTGTGAATAGTACCCACAATACACATAGGTATGTAGATATCTCTTTGTATGCTGACTTCATATCCTTAGGCTATATATCCAGTAATGGTACAGCTGATCATATGGTAGTTCTATTTTCAGTTTTCCATAATGTCTGTACAGTTACCAACAGACTATGTACCCTTTTCTCTACAGGACAGACAGCATTTTAACTTTGTCTTTTTGATGACAGCCATTCTAACTGAGGTTCATATGAGCATTGCTTGTAACAGTCAAAACAAGTCCAATACCAGTAATAGACTAGATAAATATACCATGCCATGTTCACACAATGCAACTATAAATACAAATGAAAATGAAGAAACTATAACTACATACAACATGGATGAATATACAAAACACTGATTGAATAAGGAAAAAAAAAAAGAACCAAAAAATACATACTGCTGGGGAGGATGAAACAGGAGGATCGTGAGTTCAAAGCCAGCCTCAGCAACAGCGAGGCCCTAAGCAACTCAGTGAGATCCTGTGTCTAAAAAAAATACAAAATAGGGCTGGGGATGTGGCTCAGTGGTCAAGTGCCCCTGAGTTCAATCCCTGGTACCAAAAGGGGAAAAAGAAAAAAAAGAAAAAGAAAAGAAAGGAAGTAACTCAACAATTATTCTTTAGTTATCTTTGGACTTGTGATCCTCTTAAGATGCCACATTTTTAAAAAAAACATTTATTTTTTAGTTGTAGTTGGACATAATACCTTTATTTTATTTATTTATTTTTATGTGGTGCTGAGGATCAAACCCAGGGCCTCACACATGCTAGGCAAGCACTCTACTGCTGAGCCACAACCCCAGCCCCCACATTTTTTTTAACCTGAGTGGTTGTTACATAGTTTAGTCTCTCATTTTTCTTTTTTTGCTATTAGAGATGTATTTATTCTCAACACAAAAAAATGATAAATGTCTGAGGTAGCAGATATGCCAATTAGTATGATCTAATCATTACACATTGCATGTGTGTTGCAATGTCAAGTTGTATCCTATAAATATGCATAATTACTATGTGTCAATTAAAAATATAGATTGTAAATAAAAATAATAAAAGATCTAGTAATGTTCTGTAATATTATATTTACAAAGAAAAACAAAAACTGAAACATAAGAAAGTATCTTTGGTACACTCAGCCTTTCATATCTGAGAGTTCTCCACTTAGGGATTGAAAATATTTGAAAAAAAAATCTGTACTGAACATATACATACATTTTTCCTTGTCATTATTCCATAAACCATAAAGAATAACAACTATTTATATAGTATGTGTATTATCTCAGGTATAAAAGTAATTTAGAAATTATTTAAAATATACATGAGGATGTACATAGGTTAAATGTGAATATCATTTTATATAAAAGAATTGAGCATCCATAGACTTTGATCCATGAGGGATCCTGGAATTAATCCCCCATACGAGTTGACTCCCTATTTATGAAAATGAACGCTTACCATGTACACTTTCTATAGTTGTGTTAGATTGTATAAGAAGATTTTTCAAATATAAAGAGTTTCTGAAATTGAAGGATTCAATATACACTTACTAAATTTCCTATTAACACGAAAGGGAGGGGGATAAGAAAAGGTAAGACAGACAGTGGAATGAATCCAAAATAATTTTTCTATGTACTTATATATTAACACACCATAGTGAATCCCACCATCATTTACATCCTTAAGAATGGTGGTTGCTAGGCACATGGTGGTGCTTGCCTGTAAGCCCAGTGGCTCAGGAGGCTGAGGCAGGAGGATCATGAATTCAAAGCCAGCCTCAGCAACATGAAGATACTAGGTAACTGAATGAGACCTTGTTTCTAAATAAAATACAAACTAGGGCTGGGAATGTGGCTCAGTGGTTGAGTGCCCATGAGTTCAATCCCCAGTACACCCCCCCAAAAAAACAACTGGGTCCTAACTAGAATAAGATATATTCCATGGTTGTAAGTTATAACATAATTATATTGTCATATATAAAAGTAAAAGAACATATATATACATACATATGACAAATGAAAACATAATTTGTGTCACATTATCATCTGACAGCTAATAAATGGTTAGCTCCTTGTTGTATCAATAGCTATATTGCCTTGGGCAAATGAATCTTTCTGAGCCTCAGTTTCTGTAAAATTTCAGAGGCTGACCAATTTTGCCAAAGTCAAGTGTGCTTTCATTAATTAGAGAAGATGGTTCCTATAACTGCAATACTAAATCATGCACAAAAGACACTGGATATCTTTCACATCACTTACCATCCAGTGACACCTCCAATTAACAGCTGGGTTGCCACGCTATACTTTTCAGCTGAAGGCCCAGATTCCTGCCCAAACAGTTTGCGCCACCATGGTTGCTTTTTAGCAAATTCTGCAAGGTCCAGCGACTCAAAATTTCCCTCAAAGCTACCTACAAGAATTAACATACAAAATAAGAAAATATTCATTTTAAAGTGAATCACTACCATTTTAAACTAGATTAAGAGATCTTTGTTTTGTTTTTGTAACTGATAAACTGGTTCAAAAATTTATATGAAAGTGCACAAGGACAGAATAGTGTTTTGGTTACTATGGCTGTACAATAAATTACCATAAACTGGGCATAGTAGTGCATTCCTGTAATCCCAGCAGCTTGGGAGGCTCAGACAGGAGGATCGCAAATTCAAAGTCAGCCTCAAAAACTTAGGGGGGAAGTAAGCAATTTAGCAAGGCTTTGTGTCAAATTTTAAAAATGAAAATTAAAAAGGTAGGGATGTGGCTCAGTGGTTAAACCTCCTGAGGGCAATCCCTGATACAAAAGAAAACAAACAAAACACATACAGAACTATAACCATTTATTATGCTCTCAGATTCTATGGGTCAGACTTTCAGCCATGCCATTAAGACTTGTCTCTTGTTTTGTGAGGTCTGATATTTTAGCTAGGAAAGTTTGTTGCTAAGTGCTCTTAAACTTGTGAGACTCCTGCCTCAACTTTTTGAGTAGCTGGGATTACTGGCCTGTGCCACCATGGAACCTGAAAAGAAGAAAATTTAAGGAATTTCAAAACTTATTGTAAGGGCGCACTACAATTTACAACTACCCAATTTCAAGATTTATAAAAGTGTAGTATTCAATACCTGTTGAACTGATCTAAGGATACACAAATATACCAGTGAAAGAGAACACCACATCCAGAAATAGATTCACACATTCTGTCATATGATTTTTAGTAACAAAGAACCAAGGTAAGTCAATGGGATAGAGTGAGTTTTCTTAACAAATTGTGTTAGACCTAGTAAATATTAATATTTAAAAACCAAAAGGATTTTAAGTTGTAGTTTGTACCATATATAAAATAAAAATTCAAGAACTAATTGAAGGCTGGGCATAGTGGCACATGCCTGTAATTCCAACAATTTGGGAGAGTGAGGTAGGCAGATTAGAAGTTCAAGGCCAGCTTCATCAAGTTAGGGAGACCTGTCTGAAAATAAAAAGTAAAAAGGGTAGTGATGTTGGTCAGTGGTAGGTTATCCTTTGGTTTTATTTTCAGTAGTGAAAAAAAATTAATTTAGGATAGACTGTATATCACAATTTAGCAGAGCCATAATATGGATGAGTGAAGAAGCAGATCCTGTAAGATTTTAACAGTAATTAAATTTGTGTAATATAACAAGAAAACATTACTGTTTAAGAAGAAATGATCAGTGAAAATGAATGAGTTTTGAGGTTTTCTTACAATGTGTTTTTACCAAGCTCCTAAGGTCAATAATTAGTTCCAGTTAAAAGGGGGATAAAGGGGCTGGGGTTGTGGTTCAGTGGTAGAGCGCTCATGTAGCATGTGTGAGGCCCTGGGTTTGATCCTCAGCACCACATAAAAATAAATAAATAAAGGTATTGTGTCCAAATACAACTAAAACATATATATTAAAATAAATAAATAAAGGTATCACGTCCATCTAAAACTAAAAAAATCTTTTTTAATTTCTTGTCTTCTAGTTTTGTATATAACTCTTCCCAAACTAAAATCAACTTGTTATAATTCACAAAACTCTTTGATTTTAATCAGGGAAAATTTTTTAAAAAATGTTTAAAAATGGGGGGGATTAAATTAGGGAACTGTGGGTTTTATCTAATTTCTTTTAGTCATTCATGAAACATGGCTATTCATCAAATAGTAGCCATGTTTATTATCATGTGATCATCAGCATGACAAAGATTGTAATGTGTGTGAACCTCAAAATTTTTCACTTTAGGTGTGGTGGCACATGCCTGTAATCTCAGTGGCTCAGGAGGCTTGAGGCAGGACGATCACGAGTTCAAAGTGAGCCTCAGCAACTTAGGAAGGTACTAAACAACTTAGTGAGACTCTGTCTGTAAATAACATACAAAATAGGGCTGGGTATGTGGCTCAGTGGTTGAGTGTCCCTGAGTTCAATTCCCAGTATCCCCCTTTTAAAAATCTCACACACAAAAAAAAAAATTTCACAAAAGCATCCCTAAGTAGCATTATCTGATCAAGGTGTACATTTTAAGTGAGTGCCTGCAGTTTGTTTTGCAAGACAACAATGGTTAGATTGTATATTCCAATTGCTTGGAGTCACCTAAATTAAGTGGTGTTGAAAAATGCTTAATTATTGGCTTTGGGTAGGAATTCATTTATAGTACATACCAATTTCTATGGTGCATTTGTTGAGCATAAATTGTGACATCACTGAAACCAGTACTGGGAAGAAATGCACATATAAAATAGATGTAAATTACTGAAGGGGCATAGATAACTGTAAAATATGGTAAATAATGAGATGATGAGGTTTGAGTACTTTCATTTTAATACAGTATCCCCAATTTCTTTTTCCTAAGAAACACGGTCTTGCTAAATTGTGAGGCTGGCTTTGAACCTGCAATGCTCCTGCTTCAGTGTCCCGAGTCCCTGGGATTATAGTCGCGCACCACCAAGCCCTGTTACTGCAAATGATGTTAAGGTCAGGTCCCTGTTAGTAAATTGACTAAATGGAGTATTTGAAAGTAATATGTCATATGTGGTTCTTCTTTGAAAAATCATAAATAACGCAGATGGGGAGCCCAGAATGAGAATGACACCCGCCCAACATTTAATATGAACGTCCAAAGGGACAAAGAGGCTATTCTCGAGGGAATGGAACGCTTCCGACAACAGGGACGGAATGTCTCCAGGACTCAGCAGTTGGGAGCGGTACCGGAAGCCTGCATGAGCTCGCCACGAAAACAACATCCCAGGCAGTTCAGCCCCAGCCCAGCGCGTGACCTTGGCCGGACTTTGGAGTGACTGGGCCAGGGGAGGGTCACGGCGCCTTATCCTTCCCCTTGCCACTAGGGTCCCCTGGGGAGCTCGTCACGGACTGGCAGGCGCGGAGCCCTCCCACTTCCCGAGCCCTGGAAGGCGGCTCCCCACGGCGCAGCTCGCGCGCGCTCCAGCCCTTACCTTGACTGGACGCAGCCATTTCGGCGAGCACTTCTCGCGAGGCCACTCGCAGAGGATCGGCGCGGCAGGACACGGAGTACCGCGCTGGTGTGGTTAGCAAGCTTCCGGCACGTGGGGCAGATGTTTCCATTCCCACGGCGGCAGCGGAAGAGGGCGGGCTAGGCGCGGCAGCACCTGCCCGCCCCCTTAACAGCTGCGTCACAAGGCTCTGCGGTCGGCGTCACAAGCCCCATAGCCCCGCCCAAATGACTTGCGCAGATACTCTTGCTCTGGTAACCACCACGCTACCCTTCCCTAATAAGAATATTTCACCCGAAACTGGACGTGGTTATAAAAAAGGCTGGGGATGTGGCTCTGTGGTAAAGCACTTTGGGTTCAATTCCCAGTACCCCCGCCCCCCCAATTTTTTTTCACCTAAAGCCGTGCTCGTCTAGTTTGTAATCCCTGACCACATATCTGCTCGATATATCATCTCCTCAGATATGCCCACAACTGTTTCAAGGTGGAAAACACAATTTACACATTTAAAACATTCCAATCACAATATACTTATGTGTCTTAACTACTACTTATTGTCTCTTTCTATTTTTCTTTGCTGTGCACCCGCTGCGTACAACGATCTCTGTTTAGGACAAATGGGTATTGGCATTAAGAAAACACTTTAACCTCCCTCTGCCTCAGTTGTTTAGGTGTACCCGTTTGACGATGTTATCTGAGGATGAAATCAGTAAGTGCTAAACACCTGGCACACCCTATATTGTGAGTACATGTCTACTTTTTTTTTGTCGTTCCCATTAAACTGTGACCCTCAGATGACACCAACAGGGTTTATTCATTTCTGGGGCAGAAAACTTTACCACACTAATTAGGAGCATGATTTCTAGAGCTCAATTATATATATTTCAATACTACAGCTTAAAAACTGTGACCACGACCAAGTTCCCGAACCCCTTTCTGCTTGGTTGCACTGCCCCAGAAATGAACACAAGAATAGCAGATATGTTAGAAATTACTTACATCGACTTCCTGCATATACTACCTGCCAGCTATTATCTTTGCATGCCGGTTCCTGGAAATGGGAGGTCTCACCAAATGTCTATCAAACAGATTTTTCTCGCTACTTGTTTTGCACGCTAGACAAAAGCTCAACAATTACTCAATAAGCATTCTCATTCATGCAGAAGTGGACTAAATGATAACATTTCTTATAGCTGAAAAACTTTCTTTACCTTAGCTCCTGCACTTTGAGACATTTCGGAAGGCACTCAATCCCTCTAATACATATTAACCTGAATACACTCTCTGTTTGACCTCAGCATAGCTACATTTTGAAGTAAGGAGATATATCCTATACCTGAACCAAACAAATACATCAGATAACAAGACCACATAATAAATAAACAAAATCAATGACACATACTCATGAATACTTTTAAGAAAAATGAAACTGACAGACTTATTCAATAACAGTGAACATCTCAACCATGTAATTTTGATGGTTCCATTTCAAACCTCACAGGCAAAATTTGAGCCAAAACTCAAAGGAAATATAGGAATGGAATCACATGAAGATACAGAGAAAGGTGTTTAATGCAAAGGAAATACTGTACTGTAGGCCATGAGACATTTCATGCCTCTAGGAAAAAGCAAGGAGGACAGCATAGCAAGAGCAAGCTCAGATTTTAAAAAAGTACATAAAAGCAACATGCAGACAATGTGAGATGCTTTAGGCCATGGTAAAGTTATACAATTTTTTAAATACTTACTTTTAGGTGTAGATGAACACAACACAATACCTTTATTTTTATGTGGTGCTGAGGGTTGAACCTGGGCCCCTCTTGTGCTAGGTGAGCGCTCTACCACTAAGCCACAATCCCAGTCCAAGTTACAGGATTTTACCTAAGAAGGTAAGAAGCCATTGGAGGATTCTCAGCACAGAATTCACATGACCCACTTCATAGTTTTAAAGTCACTTGTGTTGTACACAGTGGTGCACATCTGTAATCAGCTTGGGAGGCTGAGGCAGAATATTGCAAGTTCAAAACCAGCCTCAGCAACTTAGCAAGGCCCTAAGCAATTTAGCAAGACTCTGCCTCAAAATTAAAAACAAAAACCCTGGGGATGTAGGTCAGTGCTAAACTGTCCCTGGTTCAGTCCCCAGTACACACACACACACACACACACACACACACACAATCACATTGTGGGAGTTACACAAGACCCAAGGGTGAAAGCAGAGTAACTAATATGAGAGTCGAGAACCTTTCACATCCTGAAACTTCTCTTGTTGCTGCCCCTAAGGAACAGAGTCAGAGTAGACCAGGAAAATTAGTAGATATTAAAGCACCTCTTCACTGTGACCTCCCTCCTTCTTTTCCTTTCCTCCAAAATTCTAATTTACAGCAGACATTTCATGCCTCTACTGCCTTCAGAAGTGAATGGGTTAAGCATTAGCTCATGCACCCTTTTCCTACTCCAGTTTTTCCTGTGGCTGCTTCCCAATGCCCAAAAGGAAGCAATTCTGTCTGGTACTGCTTACTGTTCATGCTGCTGTCACATCCAGCAGATGAAGTCCCCTACATTTCTCTTCAAAACATTTGGGACTTTTCACAAAATCATAGAAAATTTACCTTCTTTCTCCTGGGAGCTAAAGATATTTTAGAGAACAGTTAGACTTTTATTTCTGCTGTTGAACATTTTCTAGCAATAAGAGCCATGCAAATAGAACTCTCTAGCTGCTTCTTTCTGTGCCTTTTACAATTCAGCTTTAGTGCCATCCGAAGATATTACCTGGGTGCTGTGGAACTCTCCTGGGACTATATGAAAAGTGACCTGCTCAGTGAGCTGCATGTTGACACAAGGTAAAGGCTATACCTATATTCCTACAGCATTATGGGGATGTGATTCTGGTTGGAGAAAGTTGCTGACCTCAAGTTAGGATGGCTATAATGCTTAGTTAAACCCTGATAAAAAACATTTCCAGGTAAGGTGTCATTTCTTTTCAGACATCTAACCTATTACTTGATGTTTTGTTCTGTTTTGCCCATTGCATCTCTGTCACATTCTGCAACTCTGAAATGTACAGAGTGTGGTAGAGAGACAAGCAGCAAAGCAAAAAGAACCAAACTTTCCTTGACCTACCCCAAACTTTCATAGGCAAAATCAGGACAATGAGATCCAATCAACTGAACTGAGTTTAATTTCCAGTTCTCTGATGTGTGTATGTGATATGCTTTTTCGTAATATTAGCTGTGATTTCAGAAGCTTTTCCTCTTTTGGAGGTTCTGGAGCATTTACTCATTTACTCTGAGGAAAGTAGATGATCTTTACAGTATTACATGCAGTCATTGGTTCATTCACATTTTTCTACCTCTTCTCCAGTCAGTTTTGGTTATATATGTTTTAGAAATAATAGAAAGCAATTTATTATCCCCAGATTTGATAATGTATTGGCATTGAGTTACATAGCAGTCTCTGTGATTTTTTATTTTAGGTCGTAGGGATTAAACCCAGGGGCACTTTATCACTGAGTTACATCTTCACCCTTTTTAATATTAGCCATGATTTTATTTTGAGAAAGTATCTTGCTAAGTTGCTTAGAGATTTGCTAAGTTGCTGGGGCTGCCTTTGAACATAGATCCTCCTGCCTCAGCCTCCCAAATTGCTGGGATTATGGGCATGGACCACCAGGCCCATCAGTCTCTGTGATTTTGGTTGACCTATTCTGTGTCTGTAATATTACCTTTTCATTTCCTTATGATGTTTATTCTCATTCTGTCTTCAAAATTCTTCCAGAATTTTCTTGATTTTATTGGTCTTGCCAAGAACAATCTTTTGGGTTGATTTATCAATTCTTTTTTTCTTTATGTAGCTCATTCCTTTTTTCCAATTTCATTGGCTTTATTTTGTTGTTTTACTTTTGCTTTATTGAGTGGAATGCTGGAATTATTTATTTTAAATTTTGTGTTTTTTCCTTAAATGTGTACTATAAGGATTTAAACACAATACATAATTTATGCTAATGTAAATACTAAATGTAGTCATGTTATACATTATCATCTTTCTTTTTGGTGGTGCTGAGGATTGAACCCAGGGCCTTGTGCAGGCAAGGCAAGCACTCTACCAACTGAGCTATAGCCCCAGCTCTAAATTATCATCTTTGTTTGATTTTCCGCATTCTCCTTACACACACCCCTTCTTGCCTATCCCAATCAGGCATCCCAAGATGATAATACACACCTACCCACCAGGGTTTTCTTTTCCAGTTTGTTTTATATAAGTGTGAACTTATACACACCTTTCCACTCACTTTGCACTATATCTTTGCACTCACTACCATATGTAGAGTGATGCTGCAACATTACTTTTTTTTTTTTTTTAAAGCGAGCGAGAGAGAATTTTTTAATATTTATTGTTTAGTTTTCGGCGGACACAACATCTTTACTTGTATGTGGTGCTGAGGATCGAACCCAGCGCCACACACATGCCAGGCAAGCGCGCTACTGCTTGAGCCACATCCCCAGCCCTGCAACATTACTTTAATTGAATTATTTTTATTTCTACTGAGCTTAAGCAACTTCTAAAATGGAACTTGTTTATTATTTTTTTCTTTGGGCTCTTTAATTTTTTAATTAATTACAAGACCCCTCTTATTATTTCAAGTTTTAATTTGCTTCATGATTATTGCAATTTCCCAAGATCTATTATTTGTCTATTGCCCTTCGTTATAATTTTGACAAAATGGCTTTAATTTTTATAGTCAACTATATATTTTCTTTCATATCTTCAAAGTTGGCTGTTTAAAAATGTCTTCCACACTTCAGTGTTGCAAATGTATTCTCCCAGATTTTCTTACAAGATTTTTACTGTTTTGCTTTTTACAACTCATTTGCTAATTATGTTATCTATAGGGAATAAGAGAAGCATCTGTATAGCTTTATTTTATCCATATCAATGACCTATTGTGATGGCATCATTTATAAAATAATTCAGCTTTACCATTAATTTGAAATAACACATTGATCTTATAAAAATTCTCACATAGCAATGTGTGTTTTTGGATTTATTATGCTATTTCATTGACCTACTATCATCTTGCTACACCACTACCATATAGAGGTGATTATAGTGGACCTCTAATATATCCTGATATCTGGTAAAAGCAACCTTTATTATTTACTTATTTATTTATTCATTGATTCAGGGATTACAGGCATGTGCCACTGTGCCAGGTAAATATCTTAAAGCTTTTTTTTTTTTGTGGAAAAATAAAATGCCTAAGAATAACTAAGAAAAGTACAAAATAAACAGTGCAGATTGCTTTCACAGTCAGCCCACTGGCACACACCTGTAGTACCAGAGATTAGGAAGGTTGAGGAAGGAGGATTGCAAGTTCAAGATCAGCCTCAGCAAGTTAGTGAGACCCTGTCTCAAAATAAAAATAGAAAGGTCTGGGTGTGTTCTTCAGTGGTAGAGTACCCCTGGGTTCAATCATTAGAACAAAAAAATTAACTTATTTATCAGATTAAAAAGACCCAAGAGCTGTTGTGATTCTAACTGAAATTTCATTAAATTTTCACATTAACTTTATTAATATATTTAAGTAATTTTGTTATTGCATCATGCCTATGCATTTATAAATCTGTTGCTATTGTTAATAAAATGGTTTTCTCCTATAATCCCACTTACTTGGGTGACTGAGGCAGGAGGATCACAAGTTCAAGGCCAGCCTAGGCAATTTACTAAGACTGTCTCAAAATAAAAAAGACTAGGGATGTAGTTCAGTGGTAAAGCACTTGCCTAGGATGTGTGAAGCCCATTTTAATATTGGGTTGAACCTCCAGTTTTCATTTGTAAGTGCTTAGTACTAAAATAGAGAAAAGCTATTACTTTGTGCATATTCATCTTGTCCTAGTTCCAATACCATATTAATCATAATAATTTTAGCCTAATATTTGTGGGTATTCAATCATATCATTAATAAAATGAGACAGATTTTAGATCTTTCTAATGTTTATAACCAATTATTTCATGATCTTATCTGATAGAATTTATTAGAAAACATGAAAAACATTAGATAACAATAAACACAGCATTCCTGTGTGTCCCAGGGTTTCCCTTGAAATACTCTTAATATGTTGCTATTTAAAATAATAATTGCTGGGACTGGCGTTGTGGCTCAAGAGGTAGAGTGTTCACCTAGCATACGTAAAACACTGGGCTCAATTCTCAGCACCACAAAGTAATATGTTATTTTCTCTTTTATTGTTCCTTTGTTTCTGATGCTGAGGGCATTTAAAACTATACATCTTTTTCTGAAATTCCACTAGTTTGGGTAATAATCATGTTCTTTTTATCTTGACTGAGCAAAGAAATTATTGATTCATTATCTGTGTTGTCTTATTGGCATGTACCTATGCAATGTTCACACATTAATTTCTTTTTAAAAAATATTTATTTTTTAGTTGTAGTTGGACACAATACCTTTATTTTATTTGTTTATTTTTATGTGGTGCTAAGGATTGAACCCAGGGCCATGCACGTGCTAGGTGGGTTCTCTACTGCTGAGCCACAACCCCAGCCCCCTCACACATTAATTTCTTAATGCAAAAAGTGAATGTGTCAACTATATTAGCTCTTGAAATGTTCACTTTTTGCATAAGAAATCTCACTATTTATTATTGAACAAAATAAAACAGACTGAGTCTGTATATATTCCTTTTTCAGCCCTTTTTTTTTGGCTTAATAAGACTGCATTTATGTCTTGATGGACATTTTTGGCCATTATGAAGAATACTAGTACAGACATTCATATACAAATCTTTACATGAACATATGTTTTCATTTCTATTAGGCATATTCTTTAATAGTAGAGTTTTTAGGTCAAATGGTATTTCTTTATTTAATTGTCAGGAATTACCCAACTGTTTTGCAAAACAGCTGCACCATTTTACATTCCTACTAGTAGTGGATAAAGGTATCAGTTTCTCAACATCTTCACCAATAATCATTGTTGTTATTTTTATTTTAGCTAACCTAAAGGGGATAAAATGGTTTGGATTTAGATTTATCTGATTAATGATATCAAATATTTTAATGTATATATTGACCATTTGTGTACCTTCTTTGCAGAAATGTCTATTCACTCCTTTGCTTATCTTTTAATTAGATTATTTGTCTTTTAGGATTGACTTGTAAAAGTTCTTTATATATATTTTTTTCATTTTATTTGTTGTTTTTCGATATTCTTGATATATTACACCTTCATCAGATTATGATATGGAAATATTTTCCCCATTCAGTGAGTAGTCTTTTCACTGTCCTAATATTATCCTTTGAAACCAAAGTTTTTCACTGTGATGAAGTCAAATTTATATATTTTTCCCTTTGGTTGCTTGTACTTTTGGTGTCATATGTAAGAAATCAATGTCAAAGTTAAGGTCACAAATATTTCACTTACATTTTGTAAGAGTTTTATGTTTTTAGCTCCTATATTAAAGTCTTTGACCCACGTTGAGTTAAATTTTGTGGAATGTGTGAGGAATTTAATGGAGTAAACTCATTTGTTACCTAACTTTCTGTTGTTGTGTAGGCAGTCACATGTATTTACCAAGAAAAAGTTGATCAAATTTTTATTTCAATAATACTAGTTTATGATCTTGATTATTTTGATACTGATTAACAGGATAAGCTGACTCTGGACACATCCTGAAAACTTCTGCCAAGGTTTGAAATAAACAGCTGGGGTAATTCAATTTTATATTATCTGTTCCTGCAGCTGCTGAGCTTCTTCTAAGCAAGGGTCAAGGAAAATAATAGGTTTTCCGATCAGTTTTAGATAAAATGTGAAAAAACAGTTCAT